AGGTCAATGGTTCAAACTCAACAGTAGTGCTTAGGAAACCCTACACAAGGTCGCCATGAGTGAGAACCGACTAGAAGGCACTTAACAACAACAACCAGACTGGGATCTCATGGAAGTCCTTCGTCATGGTTATCGCCTCTGGGATTCCAACTCTCTAGAGCCCGCTGGAAGGTGTGGCCTACAGTGATGGCCTTCCACCTGCTGCTATGGCCACTAGAGTGTTTCAATGCTAATCATTTCTCCATCCAACTTGGTAAGCTTAAGGATTTGAAGAAATTTGAAACACCTCTCCCTTGCCAAGAGATGGCAAGACTTTTGGCAAAAAGCTCAGTAGACAAACCTAACTCCCAGAAAGACAGTTTTGTCCCATCTACTGCATAGGGAAACCTAAATGACATCCAGTTGTGGTTGTTGTTAGTTGTATCTAGTCTATTCTTATGTCTGGAGATCCAATGTCTCAGAGCAGAATTGAGCTCCATAGAGTTTCAAGTCTGTGACCTTTCAGAAAGCATGTCTTTGGAGCCTCCTCTGGGTGGGTTAGAACCTTTTGGCAAATAGTCAAACTCTTAACCACTGCGTGTGCTACCCAAAGACTTCTGACATAATTCTATTAGTATTCATTTTTTCCCCTTTAATAAACACCTGTCCTTTAGGAGCAGATTTAACCTCCTTAAGTACTATAATATCAATTGATGTATATTTTGTAACATTGGCCTTAAGAGAATATTTCACACTTAGATATTTCATCTGTCTAAACATCCCTAGGAGTCCTGGTGTGGCGCTGTGGGCTAATGTGTCAGACCACAAAGTCATCTGAACTGCAAGGTCAGTGGTTCAAGCTCACCAGCTGCTCCTTGGAAACCCTATACAGGGTCACTATGGGTCGGAATCAACTCAAGGGCACTTAACAACAACAAATACCCCTAAATTACACATACACCCTGCCCTGGGGATAGTACCTAAGTTTGAGCAAACCCACCCCTTGTGTCTCCCACTTCCTGAAACCCTAAAAAGGAAGAGTAGGGGAAGAGAGTAAAGCTCACTGAAAGAGCTTAGAAGGGTCAAAGTTAAATAATATACCAAAGATGAATGTCATGTTACCCAATCCAGGGCTATAAAATCTTACTCAAGACTAAGAATTTGTCTTTCACACTCTCTGTTTATGATATAATAGTAACCAAAGGATTCAGTAAATTAAAAATATATATAAATGTATATTTACTTGCTGATCTTTAAGGACAAAGACCTTTTCTTGAGAATGGGTCTATAGTTAAATTGCAAGGTGTCTTTCTTTCACATAATATATCTATAATACATGACCTGTTTTCCAGATCTAGTTTCTATTAAGGAAAATCAAAAGTCTGAAAGCATTCATGAAGTCAACTATGTGCAGAATCCTTCTAGACTTTTCAAAGATTCCCTCCCCAATGTTTTCAGCTTGCTTATCCTTACTTCTAGCAGTAATTTATTTTAGTGACTTTGCATTTATCTAGTCTTTCCATAAGCAATATGTTTCATAAAACCTTTCTTTTTGCACTCAAATTTCACTGGCTTATATAGTGTTTAATTAAACTACATAATTATAGAAGTAACTTCAATGAACATAACAGATACAGGAATAAATACAACTGACTCTTGGTAGGTCTATGATTCAATGGTTGGGAGGCCACATGGTCAGAGTATACTAGATACAAGGCTGCTAGCCAAATAACAACAAGCATTCAAATAATACCAAGTTAGTTAACGTGGCAGCTGGTTAAGAGTCTGCTATATATCAGGTTCAAAGTATGAAATAAATTATCTGTTATCACGAATATCCAAAACTTTTTAAGATTTCAATTTATCAAAATGGCAATAACCTTTAATCAGACTTTTCTTGGTCTTAATTCCTATCTATCAACAGGAAAAGAAGCAAGAGATTTGGAGGATAAGGAACTCATTTTCATCATGTTCCTTCTTTCTCTCTCCTACTAGATTCTAAGCTCCTGTGTATGTCAGTGTTTAGAATTCTTTATCATAGAATCTGGCACTTCTAGGAGAGCTCATTAAACGCTTTGCTGAATATATTCACACATCCAAATCTGGATCAGTATTTCAGCCACTATCACTGGAGGCCTGTAAATAAAGTTTTCTGGGGCTGAAAACACAGAATGCCAGAAGATTTGACATATTGTCTTCTAACATCTTTGTCTTTTTTTTTTTTCATATTGTATGTATGTTTCCTGACACTGGTTAAATTTACAGATCAGGATACTGTTTATACTTACACTATTATTACATTAGTGGTTATGAATCCGGTTGCAAACCACAAGGTCAGCAGTTCAAAACTACCAGCTGTTCCATGAGAAAGATGAGGCTTTCTGTTCCTGTAAAGATTTACAGCCTCAGAAATGCTGTACAGGGTCGCTAGGAGTTGGAACCAAGTCCACGGCACATAACTACAACAATCATTACATTAATGCTAATAATATGCTGAAAACTATCCTATTTCGATTTAAAGGCATTGGTGTCCATGACAAAATAAAATCAGTTTGAAAGTGGTATTTGAACTTAACATTCCCACAAAGTATGACAGTTAAAATTCCCAGTTTCTGGCATTTCTAGTAAGAACATCAGAGTTCTAACAAACCACTTCCCTTTCCAACATATTTATATAATCTGAGACTTGAACAACACCCTAGAGATTATTTTGTGCTCGAAATCCCTCCCAATTAAGGGATCATATCTAGAACTACTCTTATGTTTTGAGCCAGAAGGGATATTTATCTTTAAATCTCACATGACACAGTGTTGCACAGTAGACTCTTCATACTTGCTTGTTTAATTAAACTGAATAAATCTAAAGAGGGCCCATTTCATGAATTTTCTTGTTCTTCTCAGGCTTTCGCTGTAACACCCACTGAATCCATACTTAAAGATTTGCATGAATCTTCTGCTCATTAACCAGTGTTCAATAACAAATTCATTAGAGGAAAGTCCATGATCAGACAAATGTGTTTCTTTTTAACATTTAAAATTTGTAAGCTAAATGGCAAGTCCAATGCCTGTTCTCACTTGCAGTGTGAAGTGGAGAAGTCTTACACATGTAAGCAACCATGTAACAAACACTAATGCTGCTAATATCAACACTTAATAAAACTTGAACAGGAAAGGGAAAATCAAATCTTCATTAGTTTGCTTATATCTATAAAGAGTTTCCAATTTAACCAAAATGCTCACAATTTCTAGATTTTTTTTTGTTAATACAGTCTTGCATTTTTCATACAACTAAGTAATATACCCTTCTACTTCTAATTGGAATGTTCACAGATTTACCATAGTACTTCAGTAACACATGTTAGTATGCTAATTGTTTCTCCATCCAGTTAACAGCCTGTGGTCCCATCTGAGTCTGGAGATTATGATATGATAATAAAGAGAACAAAGCCTTTGGAGAAGTAACCACCACCAAGAATTTTATTTTACTCAAGTATGTATTCCAAAGCAACACTTAATTTACAAGATGGCCTTGATTCATCTTCCTATTACAATGCATCTGTTTTAGAGACTTTTATGTTATTTGTTAGGACACAAGATATACTTTTCCAAATCCTATTCCCTTCTATTGTGCTGAAAGGGAACACACAGGATCCTTCAGCACAATTAGTGCTTTACTAACTGTTTTTTTCTTCAGGCAATAATTTAGATTTCCACTTCCTCCTAAATCTCTCTGGACAGCAACTCCTGGCAATCCATGTGTCCCTTTCATCACAGCTTCTTTTCATAACTAAGGGGTCAAGTACTGTACTCTACTTGCTACCAGTTCACTGTAGAATGCAGAACTATAACATACTGAATTTCACTGTCCTTCATTGTTTCCAGTTTAACTGCCATTTTACCATCATGCACACAGATATAATGGGTTTCCACTGGCATCTTATGAATTTTCAAAGCAAGTATTCTTCATGGATTTACAAAACATGTGCCTTCTCTGAATTTCCTTCAAAACCACAGAAATGGCTTTGGGAGACCCAGATTTTTTTTTTTTTAAGTACCCTAAGCAAAAAGAAGCAGCCCTGGTGGCACCAGGTTTAAAGCAGCCAACAAAAAGATCGGAGGTTCGAACTCATCAGCCAGCTCAGGCGCTCTACTTCTACAAGATTTACAGCCTTGGGAATCCCTATGGGACAACTCTACCACGTCCTACAGGGTCATTATGAGCCCGAATTGAAGCAACAGTACTGATGAGTTTGGTTTGGTTTTTTTATTTTAACCAAAAAGAAACCTGATTCTAAGCATTTTTTATTTTCCTAGGAATGTCAGGGCAAGGATCTTAAATAAAATCATCGACGTTCTCAATTAAAATTAAAAAAATATCAGGCCACGAAGATGAAGATTATCAAATGCCCTTTCTTCTTAGGTTACCCCATAAGGGCTACTTCAGCGCATTATTAAACAGCTGGCGCTAGTTTTTGCACAACGCCCTAAACCTTCCTATCTTCCCACCACCTGCCCCCCTTGGGCTCACAGACACATAATCCCTCTGCAAATCCCAAACCTGCCAATGAACTGGGCTGTTTCTCCGCCACAAAGGGCCCGCCTGCGCCTCGTGCAAGGCGGCCTCTGCACACATGTGCTGTTGGGCTGACAAGTGCGGAACTGCTTTCCTGGATCCAAAGCTGGGGGCCTGGACCTAAAACCACACTCCTCCCAATCCATTACCTTCTCCCCGCGGCCGTCTCCACAGTGACAGCCGGCGGCTACTGAGTCTCCTCGGCCGCATGCTGGCGTCCCCACCTCGCCCCGGCCAGTCATATATGGCCACGCTAAAATCCACTTCCCCTCCGCCCCACCGTCTTCTCCCCTCTTCTTTGCCTCAAAAAATTCCGTTGGAACTTCATTTGGGCCCGGCAGGGCAACCTTGCACGCGACCCGGGCACACCCTCACCCGGCGGCCGCGCCCCCTATACCCCGGCCGCGGGCGACCCCCGACCCGTGCGACCCCCGGCTCGGCGCCTCACCTCCTCCTCGCTCTCGCTGCGGAAACACAGGCACGCGGCCCGCTTCTTGTAGCCATCGCCGTCATAGGTGCGGGTCTGGTTCGACTTGAGCTTCATCATCCTCCGGGCCCGGGTGGGGGTCCGGTGCGGGTCGCGGGAGTCGAGGGATGGGGAGCTTGCTCAGGACGGCCGCGCGCGCGCGCCCCCGGCTTGGCTAAGAGAAGTAGGGAGGGGAAGCCGCTTCTCCGTTACACGGCTCCGCCACTGGCCCGCCGCAGCCACCTCATTTCCCCCGGCCCAGGCCCCGCGCCGCTATCACGGCTGCCGTCGCCGCCGCCGCCACGGCCGCCGCCCCCTCTGCCACCGCCACCGCCAGCGCCGACGACGACCGCGCCGCCATCTTGGGCGCACTGCGTCAGCGGCGTAAGGACGCGCCGGCCTACGGGACGATCGCGCGCAGGTAGCGCAGACCGCGTTCGGGAATCGCGCCCTCCCAGTCCGCGCGGCGTAAACGAGCGTCTGGAACGAGGGCCGCGCGACTAGGCGGTCGCTACGCCGAGAGCGTAGGCATGGGGGCGGGGGGCGTGCGAGAGGAAACCAGGGGAAAAAAGAGGTGCGGGCGTGTGTCTTCTAGCTCGGTCTAGGGTACCTCCGACTGAGTTCTCTCTGTCCAGTGGTGTGACTTAGTAGAGGGGCTAACAGGAACTTGCCCAAGGTCACCCGTGACCGAGGATGCCCCAAGGTCAGGCCACCTGGTCTGAGGTCCTGTCCGCCCATCTGGGAGGAGATAAGGGGAAAAGTCTGGAGGAGAAAATTGTTGTTAGGTGCCATCGAGTCGGTACCGACTCATAACGAACCTATGCACAACGGAACAAAACACTGCTTAGTCCTGGGCCAATCTCACAATTAATTGTTGCCACGCTTGAGCCCATTGTTGCTGCCACTTTGCCAATCCATCTCCCTGGGGGTGTTCCCCTTTTTAAACGTAACAGAGTAGGCAAGATTGAGTTGCTTGGGATTAGAAACGATTGAAAACAGGGTTGGCTAGGGAGGAGCCTGCACATTGCGCTGACATCTGAAGTCTTTATGGGTTGGAGTAAATCGTCCATTAGAATGAACAAATATTTATCCTGCAGTTCTTTATTGGTGCAAATAGCAATGTTTGCTCTTAAGGTAACCAAGAGGGCCATACAGAAAGAAAGATCACAATTGGGTATGTTTATTGCCTTCATCGTTTCTGACAATAAACGAGGAGTATATACTGTGAAAAGTCAAAATATTCTTCAGGAAAATATATGCAGTCAAATGTTTTTAAAAAACAAAACAAGGTGTATGTATGTATGACCCCTGAAAGTTCTCAACAGCCTAGACCAAACTAAATACTATGCTGATGCCCAAACATGCCAAAAACCATGTACAGGATTTTGTGTGAGAATTGCTTAACCTTCTAATTTGCTTGTGTTTAACCTAGTAAAAACCAGGCTCCTAATATGGTGCTGTAGGATTAGCACTGAACTTCAAACCACAAGGTGGGCTGTTCAAACTCAACAGCACCTCCTCAGAAAACCCTATATGAGTCGGAACAGACACAACAACATAGTCAAAACTAGGAATTGGTGCCAAAGGGACCTAGGTTGGAATCTCAATTATTTTCTCCCTCTGTAAAATGGAAATAATAAACCTACTTGGCACCTGGTACATAATTGTCACACAGTTGTTGACTCCATAGCACTTAACAACAGTATGATTGACATTTCACTCAACCCTTACCATATAAGATGTGGAATTTAAATTAATTTTGATCACTCTTCATGCAACAGAATTAGCAACCTCTTGGTCATTTTGGTTTTCTTTCTAGAGTTACACCTCTGTCATATCTCTAAATTGAAAGAGAAACAAAGGGGAGGGTGGAGAGGGGGACTCAGAAAAGGAAAGGTTACACAACTTGAAGTAATGTCACTGAATGGTACATGTAGAAATGTTTGAATTGGTGTATATTTTGCTGTGTATATTCGCAGCAACAAAATACTTTTTTTTAAAAGATGAAATAATGAAAATCCTAATTTTAGAAATAATACATGAATATTGTCAAAAATTTGGAAAGTGGAGGGCATAAGGAAGTTAAATCACAGATATCTTTGAGTGCATTCTGTAGATATTTCTGCATCCTGTTTTTTTTTCTGGTCCACCATCACCACCACTACCCATCTCATTAAGTTATTATTTTTTTTCTTTTACATCATTTCTGATTACTACATAATAGTCCATCATAGGGATGCACCATCAATTATTTTACCATTTTCCCATTGTTATAATCTGATGTCCTGTTTCATTAGAATTACTGCAGTGATTATATAAATACATGTCCGATATATAAATACATGTCCCTATCTCAGATAGTTTCACCAGAAATTTTTCAGAAGTAGATCAAGCAGTTGTTGTTGTGAAATGCTATTATGTTGATTTCATAATAATGACCTTGTACACAATAGAACTTAACACTAGCCATTCCTGCACTGTCCTTAAATTATTAGTTTGAGCTCATGGTTGCTGCCACTGTGTCAATCCATATTGTTGAGGGTTTTCCTCTTTTTCTTTGAGTATGATGTTCTTCTCCAGGGATTGGTCTTTCCTGACAACATGTCCAAAGTACTAGAGACAAATTCTCACCATCATGGCTTCTTCTAAGGAGCAATCTGGCCATAACATCCTACAAAGCAGATTTGTTTGTTCTGGCGGTACATGGTACTTTTGTGTGTGTGTGTGTGTGTGAATTATATGATAGTTTACATGGGAAAACATTAGCTTTACATTCATCCTATCGTATATTGTTTCATTGCCATGGTTACAATCCCCTCCATGCATCATCAACCAACCAAAGGATATACCCTGCAAGCCTGCTCCCTGGTCGTCAGCACACAGCCCCTCTCCCTCTCTGGGTCTAGAGTCCCCAGCTGCTCCATCTCTCCCCATCATCATTTCTGCCTCCATCTCTGGTGTGTCACTGTTTCTCTGGGTAGAGTCCCGAACTCAACTCTTCTCCCTTGATGGTCCCAGGGACCTCTGCTCCTGGACTGCTAAGTCAGTCACTCCCCTCCTCTTGTTACAAAACATCTGCCTTTACATTTCCAACCCTCACAGTCAGTCCTGATAACAAGTTTTCACTATTGTAGCATAATAGACCTATCCCCATCTCCTTTCATCAACCCTGCCCAGACAGATTGTATGCTACTCAGTGGAGAGTCTACCTTCCTCCATGCCCTCTGGATCTAGGCTCCCTCTTGAAAGCTTGTAAACCAGTCACTTCTTGCCTTTGTAGCCCCCATTTTGGGTAGCCAATGTCCTAGTTCCACCATTCATCTGTCAGTTTGTCATACTGTGGTGGCTTGTGAGTTGCTGTGATTCTGAAAGCGATGCCACTGGTATTTTAAATACCAGCAGATTTCAGATGGTGGACAGATTTCAGATGAGCTTCCAGACAAAGACAGACTAGAAAGAAGGAGTGACGAACTACTTCTGAATATTTAGTCACTGAAAACCTTATGAATAGCAGAGAAACACTGTCAGATATAGTGCCAGAAAATGAGCCCCTCAGGTTAGAAGTTACTCAAAATGCGATTGGGGAAGAGCTGCCTCCTCAAAATAGAGTTGACTGTGATGATGCAAAGGGAGTAAAGCCCGTGAGAGAAAAGCCCACAGGACCTTCATTTGCTGATGGGGCACAACTCAAAATGAAGAGAAATAGCTTTAAACATCCACTGAAAATCGGAACATACAACGTACAAAGTAAGAATCTGGGAAAATGGGAAGTTGTCAAAAATGAAATGGAACACATAAACATCAATATCTTAGGCATTAGTGAGCTGAAATGGTCTGGTATTGGCCATTTTGAATCTGATGACCACATGGTTTACTATGCCTGAAATGACAAATTAAAGAGGAATGGTGTTGCATTCATTGTCAAAAAGAACATATCCAGATCAGTCATGAGGTACAATGCTGTCTGTGATAGAATAATATCCATGTGCTTACACAGAAGCCCAGTTAGTACCACTATTATTCAAATTTATGCACCAACCACTAAAGCCAGTAAGCATGAAATAGAAGAATTCTACCAACTTCTTCAATCTGAAATTGATCAAACATGCAATCAAGAAGTACTGATCATTACTGGTGATTGCAATGCAAAGGTTGGGAGCGAAGAGAAAGCATCAGTAGTTGGAAAATAAGGCCTTGGCGATAGAAATGATGCTGGAGAACGCATGATAGAATTCTGTAAAATCAAATGTTTGTTCATTTCAAATACCTTCTTTAGACAGCATAAGAGACAATTATACACATGGACTTCACCAGATGGAATACACAGAAATCATATTGACTACATCTGTGGAAAGAGATGATGGAAAAGCTCCATATCATCAGTCAAAACAAGGCCAGGAGCAGAATGTGGAATAAATCATCAATTACTCATATGCAAATTCAAACTGAAGCTGAAGAATATGAAAACAAGTCCACGAGAGCCAAAATATGACCTTGAATATATCCCACCTGAATTTAGAGATCATCTGAAGAACAGATTTGATACATTAAACACTAAA